TGAATTTTTACATTTTTTCCATTGGATTTCATCGTTAATGAATCCAAACTTGTACCATTGTTGTATGTTCAAAACAAATTTATCAAATTTTTTATGTACCAATTTACCAGTTTTTTTTTTGTAAAATTATTTTCAATTTAGGCTTATTATAAAAAAAAAAGTTATTTAACAGTTTTCGACGTTTTTATTTGTTTAAACTTGTTTTACTATATTTTATTAGCCGAAAAACAATATAATAATTCTATAACGTTTTAAAATATTCTTCACTCTTTTCTAGATGTAGTATAATTGATAGTTTTTTTTTGTCCTAGTAAAATTTGTTTATTTTTAACGATTCTATATTTTGATTACTTGTTTTTAATATTCGTCCACTGAAGAAAGGTAAGTTTTAAACAAACTACAACTTGTTTTTAACTAACATAATGTTCATTGAAAATGTCTTCTTCGTCTTAGCCTTCATCCCCTCCACTCAACACAATCTCCCACATCATCTCATACACCACAGTCGTTCACTTGTCATTCACAATCGCTTCCGACCTATTCCCCTTTTCCTTCCTCAAATCATAGAGAAAGTTTTTAAGTGTTTTCAGTGGCCTGCGTCGTAGAAAAATTTGTATAAAAAACTAAATTTCTTTTAAAGCAAAGAAATAAGCAAAAACAGCACTTTTAAATATTATCATTTATGGAATCGTCTAAATATGACATGAACTATCATTAAAGTGGTTTAACTCCTTTTAAGTATTTTTTCACATTTAATTGATTTTTCATAACATTTTTTTTTATGTTTAATATGAACTTTTCCAAAAAAACTTCTGTAAACCGGTTTTCTAAACTATTATTTATTATTATTATTATAAAGTAATAATAGTTATGATTATTATTAAAAGCCTATTATTTATAAAGTGTTATTTTCAGGCCCGTATTTAAGGGAGGGCTTGGAAGGGCAGTTGTTCCTAGCGGCAGGGCTTAGGGGCGGCAAAATTAATTTTAAAAATATAATGAAAAAAAAAATAATAATAATAAACGGATAATAAAAATGTTCCAAAAAAAATATATTTTTTTGCCAATCGGTTGACAGATTTTACCCAATAATATAAAAACAACGATAACTGACATTCATAGTTTATTGTTACACCGCAGACGGGCGACGGCTTTTGCCAGTGACAGTGTTTTTTAGTGTATGGTGTTAAGTATACACTATTAAGTATTTACTACTTTTAGATGTACCGTGAATATTATATTGTTAATAATATAACAATGTAAATTTTATTATTTTTTACCTTTACTCATTTAAGGTGTTCCATCTTACATTTAAAGTAAGACATTCATTTTCTCAGAAAATATAAATATTTTGAAAATAGTGGTTTTCCTATGCTTGTAGGTACATAATTAACATTTTTTTTTTTTTTAATACGCTGAACATTTTTATCTCGTCTCTTTTACCGTAAAACAAGTATAGAGATCTCGTTTTTTTAAATGGGATCATAATATGTTATCTTAGATATTACATTCCCCCTTATAATATTATCATTTGACTTTGGTTTATCAAATTCCAGTAGCCAACAAATTTCATATTTACAATCGCATTGTCCGATAGGCAAGAACACCGAAACACAATGAAATGTTGATAATTATCGACTTGAGGATCTTATCTACCGATGGTATTGATGATAGTGTTGTCAATAAAAATATTATTATTTAATTGGTATGCTAGTGTTGTAAAAATCGAACAAAGATTGATGTTAAATTCAAATCTTAACAAACAATAGTCATAGCAAAGCTGATGAAAATTAAAAATTCAAACGCTAACACATTTCAATATGTCTTGTCTACATATTTATGGAATTAAAAACGTATGTTCCCAATTGAAGTCCATACTTTTTTTTTTTTAAATATAAGCGAATGCGATGAAAATAAACATTTCCTAAGTACTTAGGATACTATAATAAGTGTTAAAGATAAAAAATTATATACTAATAATAATAAGTATTATATAATAATAATAAGAATTAAAGATATAGTAAAATATGTAACTAAAAGTATTGAAAAAAAAAATTTTTAAAAATATTTTTTTTGAGCTTTTTTTGGGAGGGGGCGGCAAATTTTATGTTGTCCCTGGCGGCAATATTTGTAAATACCGGCCTGGTTGTTTTAACTTAAACTAGCCATGTTAGTTACTAATTTTATTAGGGGAAAGGAAAGCGCTATTTATTAAGGGACAAAGGATACGCAATATTTGACAAAAATTCATCCAGTAGCCGACTAATAATTTTAATGTGAAAAAATATTAAGTTTTTCTAGTTATAATAATACTTTTAAAGTTATTTTTCTTCGAGTTATAGCAAATGTTTGATAAAAAAAAATTACTTTCGTGGAAACAATTTTCTGTCATACCATCCAAATTGTGGACGGATTTCAATTTTTCTTTTTCTTATGTGAAGCTTACTATTTTTCCTATGGGGGCTCTAATTAGCCGATTTTTGATTTGGCACGGATTTATTAGAAAAAACTAAAAGTAAAAATATAATTAATACATTTGAGCAATTAAATTGTATCAAACATATTGTTAATTTTAATAATATTATGATGTTAAAATGCCAGTTACGTAACTGTCCGCAAAGATAATTAGTTTTCAACATGAAAACTATAAACATGACACACATTTTGTGCTTATCTGGTAAAGACAATGTAGTGTAAATAAATGTATAATACTAATAATAATATATCTAATCTCATATACACAGCGGCACGTACGCTCGATATTGTATTTTAATATGTCGGTTTAATTGAAATAATCTAGACTAGTCCCCTTAAAAAATATACAGCTATATCCCTCCTGTTAAAACAAAATTTGCAGGAGCAATTTGTTTTTTTTAAGGCAATTTGACTATTTTAGCTGTATTCAATAATACCTAGTAAATTCCTTACATTATTTTCTTAATCACTCCTCCTCCTCTAATCTTGGTTCTCTCACTTCTTGATTTGAAGTCTGAAATATTTCAGCATTTTGTAAAATATTCGATTTGTATTCAACTATTTGGCCCTAATGCCTTAATTTAAGAGATAATTAGATAATAGTATTATAATTTTTCAACGTGCAATCACTATGCAGTATGCCACATTAAAGTGATTTAACTTTTACGTTCAATAAACCGAATTGGAAGAAACAAAAATTAATAAAACTGAATAGAAAAAAATAAAATTGTGCTATTATTGCGATTGAAATACAGCAAAAAATGTCACTCGTCAAAACATTTGTAATAAAAATAATATTATAACAAAAGAAATATTTTCATTATTGCTAAATAAAAGTTTTATATAATATAATATAATATATTAATTATTATAAATTAAAAATTAGAAAAAAAATGTATGTCTGTGTAATATTTGATTTGTTTTACTTAATTATTTTACAAGACAAAAAAACAAAAATGATAATAATAATAATAAAAATTGAAATGTACAGTACCTATGTTTGTTCTGTTATTTATTTTAATTTTAGCTTGAAACTGAAAAGGATTTGCTGGTAGGGCTAAAAATAAAAAAATAAATCACTCCTATCCATTCAAAATCGTTTAAAACACTAAAAAAATGTACCTAACCATTTTTCAACTTAAAATTACGGTTCTCTATCAACTATTTTAAGTATATTTTAAATATTCGAATTAGTTCTAGATTTGTATAGAATATTCGTTAGTTATAGTACTACCGATAAATGTTGACAAGTCAAAACAAAATATATCATAAACCCTTTGGCCTAGAACGCTTTTAAATGCATTAATTAAACTCCTTGTTAATTTACATCTTAATATATCTCTAGCAATAATTAATTATTTATATTAATAATAAAAACGATCGAAAATTTATTTTAATTTATAAGTCACATATAAATTCAAAAGGTGCTTGGGGAATTTTAGCACCCCTACACTCAAAATTACACCCCCCAAAAATTTAAATTCGAACTAATGCATATTAATACAATAATTATATATGCTGCTGGTTTTTACAAAATGTTTAAAACCGGATACTAAAAGTTACTAAAAGCAATTCATGGATCTCAAAAATATATTTGACTTTTTTATTATGTTAAAATGAAAAATACAATTTAAATTACATTTTGATCATGAAGGAAGCATGTTATTTTTAAAAAAAATTCAAATCTTGTTTTTATACTATAAAATTTCAAATTTTATTAAAGTTATACGTGTAGGGAGCATGTTAATAAATTTTGTACTTGAATAATTTAAATTTTATACGTGGTATTTTCACCTTGAAAAATTAATTAAGTTTTAAAGTATTTTAAACACGCACCTAATAGGTTGACATTATAATGAAATTACAATTTCAAATCATTAGTTTTTATAGTAGATAATAGTAATAGAAATAATAGAGTAATAAGATAAAAAAAAAAGAACAGTTTATATAGATGGAGATGACCTATGGACATATGGGCATAGGCTAAACGGGTAGAAAAGTATACACATTCGCCAATTATGATAGAGGAAGGGTAGGAGTTAGGTTAGGTTTTAAAATGTAAGTACTGATTTTTGTATTTTTTTATATCTGGTCACCACAAAACGTACGAGGACAATTTTGTTAAAATGCAAAACGTCATAACGGAGAGGAGCACACAGGCTATTTAAAAAATATATTTATCATAATTATTTTGTTGTTCAACAGCTAAATATCGCTCTGGTTTTAATCTTGACGGAAAACCGGTTTACAACGCCCGTCGTCGCGGTCGAAATCAAATTAAATACTAGGTTTTTTTTTATTGATTTCAGTTCTCTTATCGTCGTTTGTCCACAGTAAAATTGTCTACACTCTATAATACAGCTATTCTATATTATAATAGCATAATATTTGTATAATAACAGCAATTATTATTATCCATGCGAAACGCATATGTAATAACGTTATTCCGTTTTTGTTTGTACTCTGTTTATCAAAACCGGTTATCAAAATTAAGCGCTTATCAGTCAATCGTTCAAGGTCGACCTTTTGTTTAAAAAAAAAAAAAAACACCAAGTAATAACACTATAATTATTATAAACCGTTTTTGGCTGCGACAAGATAGGTACGACGACACAATAGACATAATATAATAAGACAACAATAAATTAGTAGTATGACATTATCGGCGTATAAATAATTCAATATAATATTTTCTACAACCCATCTGTCTGCTGTTGATTTTCAATAAAAAAAAAAAAAAGAAAAGTGATAGCCCACATACAATATTAATGCGCCATTCGTTTGTCGTAGGCTCGTTTTGTTTACCCGCATCTTTTTTTTCCCCTTTCAATTAGTATTTTAAACGTTCTCAAATGCTTTGCTGTTAATTGTTTCAACATCAACACCTTGACGACACCGTCGCCCATTGCCTGTTGCTTTCTCTGCGCTCACAATGATGGACCAAGTAAGTCGCACAATATCTACCTAACTTTAGTTTATTATTATTATTATTTAAAATAATTAAAATTTCGGTACGCTGAAAAAATATAATAATATATGTACATACAAGAAAATTGGCGCTTGCGTTAGAAAATATCTAAAAAATGTCAATATAACGTCTAATCGGTGTACTGGACGGATTTGCAGGCGGAAGAAAGAAAGTGGCCGGAACCGAGCCCGGCTCTGGGCAGTATACAAGGGACGGACGACAAAGACGATGCCGACGACGTGCAATTCGTCGGCCAAGACAAAAGATTCAGAATCACCCTGGAACCGGTCATGTTTTTCATCAACCTCGGATCCAACCTCAGCAGTAAGTTTTTCATACACGTCGTCCGTGTGCGGTCGACGCCTTCAAATCTGAATACTTTCAGTTCAATTGTTGAGACTGTACGTAGGAATTACATGCTGTTTTCCGTTTTTCTCTTTTATTTATGAAAAACGTCACTAAAAATCTTATTTATCGGAACAAATGCACTTTACCGGGCATCTTTTTTTTAGTAGCGTTATTTTTTATGCCAATAAAGCTATAAATTATAAGCAGAATCATGTTATCATGTTAAAACTTAGTTAATCAACTAAGATACACAAGTATTTTCTTTTTTGCTGTCTCTTCGTGGCGGATGGTGTTGGATCCATATTATTTAATACGAGAGTTTTGTTATCAGTATTAATTAATAACCAACTAGTATCCAGGGACGATATCAAGACGACTTATATTAGTGACATCGAAGAGACTTGCAACAGACCATCCGATTCCACTGTCAGGAATGTGAAATGTATAAAGACACTTTTTGTTTAATTTTTTTTTTTTTTTTAAAACAAGGAGTTAAAAAGATGGGTCTGATTATAAAGGTCAAATCAGTTCTCTTATCAACAGATATAGTTTTACTATTGTTTTCTTTACCGGCTAAACTAAATATTTATTTTTTATTTAAACAAATAGTTGTGTAATATTATAACTGTTTTTCAAAACAAATACTATACGAGACTCGAAAGATTACTAAGTTACATCAAGTAATCACATTTGATTTCCAAAAAGTCCTAAAATTCTTTGTAATCGGACTATCTTTTATTTTGACATATTAAGTTTCTTTACAAAATATATATAGATAGTTTTTTTTTACGCATAGCATATGAAATGTATTACGAAATTTAGCATAATAAATTTAAAAAATGCAAAACATACCGTAAAATTAGCGATAGAATGATTGGTGTTAATATTGGAGACTTTTATATAAGGAGAGGACTATGAAAAAAAAAAAAAAATACTTACAAGTGGACGCATTGGAAACCGTTAAGTTGCCGTTGGCGGGTGATTTATGCCGTAACAAGTGAATGAAAGTCATATATAGAAATATTGAATAAACCACTTATAGTGTATCAGTAATTGTTATTTGTGTTAACTTAACAATGTTGTTTTATACCAATTGAATACTGACAGTTATTTTTTTTTTTACATTTTTTCAGCGCTGGTACAAACGAATTTGTTTGAAGAACGAATGTGTCTTCACAGTTCGCTCGCAAACAATGCGACCGTGGACTGTTACAATATGTCACCGTCGGAACAAGCAATCATACAGCCCATGGTCGCCGATTTGCTAGTCGTCAAGAACTACATAGAAACACTGTTGCCCAGTATGATGATGTTGTTTTTGGGACCGTGGAGCGACGTAAACGGTCGTTTGCCACTGCTGATCTCGGCTATTTCCGGTACACGAAACATAGATTTTACATAACGATCGTAATCGAGTTAATAAAAACAAAACTATCTCGTCTTCCAGGTATAATATTGTCCAATTGTTTGCTGTGTGTGTTTTCGACCGTACCTAGTATTCCGCCTTGGATGTTTTTGATTTGCAGTCTGCCCTTGGCTTTGAGCGGCGGTAGCGGTGCGTTGTTCATAGGGTCGTTTTGTTATTTAGTCGACATAACCGATGTGAAGTCCAGAGCTTTCAGGTATTACATAACATAACAATAATAATAATAATTTGTAAACAATTTATAATATTTATTACTAAAAGACATAATTAGTAGCTGCTATGGTGAATGTCTCTTTGTGGTGTGTACGCCAAAGAATGGCGCAAACAAGTTTCGCAAATTTTATTATGTTAGCTATTAAATTTAGCAATGTTGTGAAACATTGTATTTTTAATATCAGCCTTCTTAAAATTTGCAAAAAGTGAATGTTGAAAATTTTACAAAATCACAGTGAATGTTTGTTGTCTTTGTTAATTTAGTAAAAATTGTATTTTTCTTGATTCGTTAAACACCAAACACTGGATTGGACGTTCGGAATTGGAAGTTTACTTTACGCAATGCACCGCCGGACATTTACCATATCGCACTCTTAATTATAAAATGTGTTATGACTTATGACCTAACACCGGATTCCTAATTACTATGACTAAAATAATTTACAACGACAGGACTGCAACGTATAATTTACCGACAACATATTATTATCGTTCGGCTACATGTTGTCTTATCATTTTTTTTTTCAGCGTAACTAATAGTCTATTTTATAAACTATATAATATTATAATTAAAAAAATGTGTGTGTTATTATTTTGCAGGTTAGGATTTTTGCAATCGTTTATATCGATCGGATCAATTATCGGCTCGATTGCGAGTCCGTACATGTATAAACAGTCGAGTACGACTACTTTTGCCGTGGCCACTTTTTTGTTCATAATAGCGCTGTTGTACACTTACGTTTTCCTGAAAGAAACTGTCGTCATCAAAGAGGTTGGTACAACTGATTTTCAATAATATTTCACAACTTTTTTCTATAGTGTTATTGTTGTAATTTACTGTTATTCTTTTGTTCACACAGAACTCAAGTAGTAAACTGTTAGACTTGAACTTGGTGAAAGACATGTTCCAAACCGTGATCAAACCGCGTGCTGGATATTTGCGATGCATAATCATAGTTTCAGCGATCGTTTTAACGCTTAATTTAGCTATTTTGATAGGTAAGAAAAATGTGAAACTTTTATTGTTGTTGCTTTAATTTTTGTTCAACACGTATGTTTATCCCCAATTAGGTGAAGAGTCGTTGTTTTATATGTACATGCAAAGACAATTTTCTTGGACGTTAGAAAACTACACTCTGTTTGCGGCATATTCAACGTTGCTGGGCGGTATGTTGTTTTTCACGTTAAATTCTTATATTACATCTTCATTATACTTTGATAATAATCGTTACGGTTTTCCCTTTAGCGACTATTCCTGCATTCGGGTTGTACTATTTCAGCACCAAACTCAGAATCCCGGACATGTATCTGGCCACTGCGGCCACGGGACTTCGGGTCATAGAGAAGGTCGGCTTGGTGAACGCCAGACAATGGTACGAATTCTACATCATCAGAATATTCGGATGCTTTATGTTCACCAGCGAGCCGTTGGTACGATCACAGCTGTCCAAGAGTTTTCCCGCCGAAGACTTAGGTCAGTATTATTTATAGTTGGATTATATTATTATTATGTTTGTTGTCTACGATTTTTTTGACATATTTCTAGGTAAAATTTTCACCTTTATCGGAGCGTTGGAGGGATTCGGATCGTTGTTAGGATCGCCAATGTACACCACAGCGTATAACGCGACGATCCAAACGTTTCCAAATTTCATATTCCTCTTGTCGTCCATTCTCAGCTCATTCGCATTGATAATATTTTTGTAAGTACAAAAATCATTTCATCGCTTAAGACGTACGTTGCCGTAACAATTTTTTTCATTTTACGGTTTATTAACTTATTTACCGTGTATTTGACGTTAATTAAATTAATAACAAATAACGAGTGCGTTGTCACTTAATTTCTTTATATTATTATTTGCCAGATAACAAATAATATTAACTTAAGAAATCATATAACACTAGGTTATTAATATTTTGGTCTCAAATTGTTTTGTTATTATGTCCGAATCAAATTATTTTTATAAATAATTCTTTTAACGAGGAAAACTTTTTTGGAATATAATAAACAACACACCCAATCCCGGAAGAATAATTTTAGCCGATAAACTAAATTGTAATATAGCAACCCTAAAAACATATTAATTAATATTATGCATTATTTTTTATACTGAAAAGACACCTCCCAATAAATAAGAGTTAAAACTAACACTGAATGAAAAATTTGAACTAGGTACACTTTAAAATTAAAAATTTAAGCAATAATAATTTTAATCGGATCACTGTGTTTAAAATCCTCCATTTGTCCGACACAAAGATTTTGTTTTATCCATATTAAACGTTTTTTCCCATTCTATTTACTTTTGAAATTGCTCATTGTCTTCCGCCAACACTATCTGCCTAAATGTAAAACTATTGTTTTTTGTGTTTACAGACTGCTCATATTTTTACTAGCGAGAAGTATTCAATCGTCGTACAACCAGGACAGGTCGCTGATCGAAGATTAAAACTGAATCATAGGTTATTTTTAATCAAACACCAATCAATACATATTATTATCTTTTTTCATTTTAATTAAATTTATTTTTTATTATAATAAGATGTTACCATCATACTCTGTAAGTACACTATCGCTCTCTCTCTTTCTTATCAAGTACAATTTAACATAATATACCATTATTTATGGTTTATACTACCAAACATTTTTATTGACAAAACTCTAACTGTGATGATTTTCTAATATTATGCATTAACTTGATGTGATATAACATGTTTTATATTTTTTCTTGTTACATTTTATACAAATTGTTGAATTATAACTAAAATTAAATATTATATTCAAAATTGTATATTTCTACTGGAACAAAAAAATATACTCTATTTTTTTTCTTTCTAGAAGGTCTGACCATTTATAGGAAAACTAATAATAAAGTCTTAAAAGTACACCGCTTAGATTTTAGCTTCGACCAAGACTTTAACGCGTAAATAAAAATATCAATAAGCGACCAAGTTAAATCATCATTTTCTCTATTCTTTGGGATTTTTAATTTTTATTTTTAGCATAACAATAACCAACAGTGTTTCTATTTAAAAAAAAAACAAACATTTTAAATTTTGTAATAACAAATAAAATAAAAGTTAAATGTTAAATAAATCTAATAATAGTTGTTCGCAGGCGCTAAAAAACAAAAAAAAACCAACAAGGTATAACTCAATTTACCGAAATACAAATAACGAGAAAGTAATAATAATCATCGATGCAAGAACAGAATCCTCCTCGTACTTAGATACCGCCGCCGCTTCTCTCGACGGAAATGTTACTTGCCGTTTTTAATTTCTTTTCATGCGCTTGTTCTTCCAGTTCGGCCATTTTGGCGAACCGAGAGTGCGTTATGTGGCCCGATTTGATTGCCGACATCATCTGATCAGAACGACAACAAGAACGTATATGTTAACGACAACGTTATTACAGTAAATATGTTATAATATATTTCAAAAAACTCGATGCAAACAAATCACCTGTAGGAACTCGTCCAGTTCAACTTGACCGTTCATGTTAGTGTCGATTTCTCTCAAAATTTCATGCAATTCTAAGCCGCTTAATTCTTCACCAAAGTTCTGTGTAAATCGTATAGGTTATCAGTAAAAAAAAAAAGTTATAGTTTCCACACGCACTACCAACATACAACTACATAATATTATACGTACTTTCATACTCCTACGAATATCGGTGATGGATACATAACCTTTGTGGTCTCTGTCTATCAATTGAAACCTACTGACGTACATTTTGATTTCGTCTTTGGAAAGAGTGATCGGGATTTTATCTCGGGACGCTCTGTTGACGCTCATGCCCATTTCCGTGGCCAAAAATTCACTAGCCGCTTTCAGTTGTTTCTAAGAGTAGCACATTCATCGTTAAAATTATAATAATAATAACATATATACTTTGTAGCTTATTAGTAGCAATAATTTGTCGTCAAACAACAAAAGTACCTGTTTTTCTTCCTCGTTCCAGTTTAGTTCTTCGGCCATAATGTTGACGATCATCGGCAGCGCTTCCTGACAAGCTTGTACGTTCAAAAATGCCAAACGCAAGCGTCTGGCTACCATGTCGACCGCCGTCATGGCGTACTCTTTAACTCCGTACCGGATCTTTAACGAGGAAAAATAAATAAATCAAACGAGTCGAGAGGAGCAGCGTAAAAATATAATATTACTTCAGCGTCGATGTATGGAAAATCTGGGTGGATTTTCTTTCCTATGATCGGCCAACGTTGTCCGGTGAGCTGAGCTAGTTTGGCCACGGCAAAAGCTCGGTCGCCGTAAGCAGTCGCCAAGTGTTGGGCTACTTCGCATTCCAAACCAAAGTCTTGGACCAATCTAATGTACATGGTCGGTGTCCATCCGTGGGATCCTTCCAATTTAAGACCATCGGTCTGGCACTCGGGCTTGGTCGGTTTCAACTCGGGAATAGCTGAAAATCACACCGTAAAAGTATGAAGTAGTCTGTTGAACAATTTTATCATCGACATACCTTTGATAGCAGCGTCCAATGTTTCCTGGGCCATAGCTCTGTACGTGGTCCATTTACCGCCGGCGATCGTTACTAAATTTGATTTGCTCACATGCACAATGTGATTACGAGCCAACGATTGCGTGTCCGCTTTGTTGGGATCCGACACTAATGGACGAATACCGCTCCACGCACTCAAGACGTCACCTCTGCGTACTTGAAATAATTAAGAAATACAATGAACAAACAATGCGTCATCGTTAATATTTTATATTAATTAATAAAATACCTTCAACGTCCGAATTAAGGTAGTTTTTGATTTCGTTAAGTATGAATGAAATTTCTTCTTCGTTGGGCATCGGATGGTAAGTGACGTCGCACGGACTGTCTGTAGTTCCAGACAGCGTGTATTTTTGCCATGGCAAAAAGAAAATGACTCGACCGTCGGATGTTTCGGGGTCCAGTAGACCCATTTGCTCTGGACTACAAACAAATTTATAGTTAATTTATATTTTAGCTTCGATGCGTCAGCTCAGAACATATTGTTTTTACAACAACATTTTTTAGCCTAAACTAAAAAAACAAGCTAAATATAACTGACAAAGTTATGATATTTCGTTTGAATTTATGAAAATTGGTTTACTAGTTGGGTTTCATGATTTTAATCAATCGACGTAGCTGTAAAAGTGTAGATTTGGTTTATTCGAATCCTTTTCTATCACTCTTAATAATACTCAAAGACTCGTCACCACATTTTAATTGCATTACATTCATACCTGTAATAACCGGGCAAAACGATGTGCACTCCTTTGCTGGGTGAACAAATTGGTTTAACTTTTTGGTCATCCATCTGTCGCACGGCATCTGTGAACGGACCGGCAGCATTAATGACACATTTTGCTTTAACATCCCACTCCTTGCCGGTCAGTTCGTCCCTGAGATGTGCTCCACATATTTTCCCGCTGGAATCTTTCAACAATTCTACGGCTTTCACGTGATTCGCCACAGTCGCTCCGTATCTAGTTGCCGTCAACGCCAGGGCAAGACACATTCGTGCGTCGTCTTGTTGACCTACATTTGAAAACGATAATTATTGTACCACGTATGCAAACAATTATTAATTGTAACTTTTTCAAATATAAAATTACCGTCGTGGTACACAATAGCTCCAACGAGTTTGTTTTTCTTAAGCATGGGGAAAATTTCAAGAGCTTCGTTCTTGGACAAATAGTAAGAACTCTTGATAGTTTTCGAACCGGCCACCAAATCGTACGCCTTGATACCGATCCAATAATAAGGAACTTTCCACCACCTAAGTAGCAATTGAAAAATACATTACTAAAAAAACAACACTCGATTGCTTTGGTAAAACTCACTCGTAAACGGGCAACATAATCGGTATCGCCTGAGTGAGATGTGGAGCCGTTTGAAGCATCGAAGACCGCTCGTGCAATGCTTCTTTGACCATTTTGTATTGATCATAGTCCAAGTTGAGAATTGCTTTTTGTAAATAACGCACTCCTCCGTGAATGAGTTTTGTACTACGACTAGATGTACCCGATGCAAAGTCGTCCAACTCGACGAGAGCAGTTTTCAAACCTAATTAAGCGGACAATCGATTATACGGATATATTTATAGAACATATAAAATGATTTACACATCTTAGACTTTTGTTATAATGGCCACAGATCTCACCTCTAGTAACAGAGTCTATTGCACAACCCGCTCCGGTCGCGCCTCCCCCGATTATGAGGACGTCGAAACTTTCCGACTTTAAAGACTGAATCTGGGTGTCTCTCAGAGGCAGCGTTCGCTTCCTGCCCGTTTTCTTGACATGTTCTGCCTGTACGGTTTTTATTTTCTAAACAAAAAAATTCCATACTTAGTATATTGTGTCGTTACAAGTTCAGAAGTAACTCTCGAGTACTTACTGTTGGGTTTTCTCCAGTTAGAACCCACGTTGTGAAATACGCTCCGGCTCCTACTGACGCTCCGCCCACCATTAACTTGTAAATTGTAGAAGCCATTGTATATTATTCTGTAAAATGTGCAATAACAGTATAAAACAATTTGTTTTACGCTTATTATGTACTTATTATTTGTAAATACTAAGAAATTCAATAGGAAACACAATGTTACGTCAAAGTATTTTGAGCAATTAACATTACAAAATAAGACACTCGTTAATGTTCATAACGACAATGGTAATAAGTCATACATCTCGTCACGATTCATTAAAAAAAATTACCTAAGGCATAACATATTTGGAATTTTTTTTGTAAAAATATTTAAACACTTGAAGTTACGTTTCAATTAGCACTTTTTCAACACACAAATGAGTACACAATATTTATACTTGTTTAAAAAACAAATTAAGAAGTGTTTTGACGAGAGAAAATTAAAAATTAAAGATAATTAATATAAAGATATTTGTTTTGATATTATTTCTACACAAGACACAAATGGTAATTAATTTATATTATAACTTCACAATTAATATACATTTTTATTGGATTGAGTAATCTAAATTTACTTTAATAGTGACCTTATTATTTAAATAATAACACAGTTAATAGCTTAATTGACCTATCAATGAGAATTATAGGTCAACTGATGATCCCGTTTATTTTCATAATAAATAATAAGATAAACAAATAAGGTAATTAATCATCACTGTAATTTTATAACCAAAAGGTTATTTGCTCTTAATTTTCATTAATACTTAACAGTATTTTTTCGTTTTTGTATTTTCGATGTGGAGCTAAGAAGGTTCTGGTTTTACAATGTTATGATGATAGATATACTTTTAATTTAAAAAATAAACGTGATATCACTTTTCGAAACAATTTTTAGAGTTTTTATAGAAATTATTATTTATTATTAATTAATTAGCTTTAAGTGGGTACTTCATTATAATCTATTAACGGTATGATTTAACGAAATTGTTACTATTATTATGATGACTAACATAGTAGCAATACATATTAATATATAATACAAATTAAGATAATAACGCAATCACGCGCAAAATGTACGACTAATGCGTGAAGTTTATTTCTATAACGTGTTCTGAGAAATGACGAACCAATCTCAATAAATTGATTTTAAATGCAATTAATGAACTGGAAAATGTGGTTTTTTTTTTACCATAATTAGTGTCTTTAATGAATAATAAATAAGATAATTACACATCAGGTATGATAAAAACAAAGAATCTTATTAAAATAGTCTAAACACAGAATGTTAGTTACACAACAGTTTTGCCATCTCAATTAAAATTATCGAAGAATGAATGCAAATACTACTGTGATAAAATTCGACTATAAATTTAATTTTAACGATGATAAGATAAACATTTTTTTTATTCCATCTTACATAATTAAAAACAAAAATTACATAATTTACATAATTAAACAACAAAAATGATAGGTATAAGTTAAACCTATATTTTATTTGTAAAATGATTTATGAAAAATAATTTCAATTAAACTTTGAAATAAAAACAGGTCATGTGTTCAACATTGAGAAATATACATCCAAATTTTATTCATACTGTTCAAAACTCGATTCCTATAAATTTAAGTTACACCACTGATAAAGTACTATTGTCAACTGATAACTAGGACAATTGCTTAAAACAATTGTTATTATTATTACATATAGTGGTGTAAATAATGATTTTCATAAAATTTTTGTTAATCAAATTTTATTTAGTAAGAAAAAAATGACTCAAACTTTTAAACTACAACTTTGACAAACATTTAAATTTTACAATGTGAGAAATTGAACACACACGCTGTTGTCCAAATGACATAATAGTATGCGTCGTGTACCTAAGTCGAGAGGGGAAACCGGCCAACGTCGACAAAGTTGAACTTTGAACATTTACCCGGTTAGTTATACGGCACTTGTGAGGCGATAAATGAGGTTTCGTCGGTTTGACCGATATTGGTAACTATCGCTAGACCCGAGCAGATCGATCGTACCTACGCTGTACACTAGTTGAGAGTTTTTTTTGGTTTTTCTTTTGCACAAAATTACACAATAATATTGTAAGCACATTGCCAATATTATTGTCGAGGGGTGTAGCGGGCATGGGTGGGCAAGGGGGGTGGGGTGGTGGTAGGAAAACGTATTGGCATATTATTATCATATTTTTGGTACTCACCTAGTTGAAATGTGTCCTTTCGGCGACGACGACGGCGATTTATTAATAACTTTGGGCGCGACACGATTTTCGCATTGGACGTTTCCCCACCGGGTTGCCGTCGATCAGTGCGCACACTTGGAAATACAAACGAATATTTTTTTGTTGTGTCAAATTATTGGCAAATCCAAAAAACCTCGCGAAAGGGTTGACCGTGCGATTAACTGCAAACAGAACGGCGCGGCAAACGCGAACAAAAAAAAAAAAAAAAAACGGTAGGCGTAAGTAGGTAACAGGTAAGTATATAATACTAAGTCGTTGTTCGGCGACGTCGAGATAAAGTAAAAAAAAAAAAAAAAAGTAATCAAATCAAAATCAGGTAAAAAAAAAACTAGTCCGATCGCTGCGTGGCTTTGACATTGGGACCGGGTTAATGACTAATGTTATATGTATTATTATAACTATATTAACTACTATACCGACGACATGGAAGTGAATTTCGCACGAAACTAATAGCAGAGAAGACAGCGGCCGTCTGCTGCGCCAAGGCTATACTATATACACTATCTATACATATATATAAATCGCACGAGTACGCCGCTCACTCGGAATGGATGATATTATTATTATATACATATAGGTGTATTATACCAGGGCGGTCGCAAAAACGAAAAAAAAAAAGAAATTCCACAGCGATTGCGCGCCAAATTCCGTTTCTAGCGCGGACAAGCGGTTTCGCCGTCGGCTGTTCGTTTCATGTTATTATACAATTTGACTAGTGCAATGAATACCGCGCTGTGGTCGCAATTCAATACATCATATATTAACAATAGTAATTTATTAAATCACAATTAAAAACCGCGTTAAACGTCATTATAGTACTTTGCGGACGACTTTGCGGAACGGCCGAGGTCGCCGTCGACGGCCACTTCGGCGCATGCCCGTTATCAGTCTCATAGCACGTGCCATACGCATGATCGAGCCGCTGTCAGCCTTATCACACCACTCGAAGGTTATCAGCCGCTCTGTTATCACTGATCGTCCTGGTGTCGTCCGCCGTCCAACCGCCGTCACTGACAAGTCCGTCGGTGTCCACTGTCCACTCGCCGCCGGCCACCGAAACAATACCCTCTGTCAGGTACCACGGCTGGTGTTCTGATTAGGTTAGTCCGTTCTGTGCTATTGTTGTCCACCCGTCGCTGCTGGTGGCCATCCGGTGTCCGGGTTTTTTGGACACTGCCGGACACGTTTGGCCGGTGGCCGTGAGTGTCGATCGAATGATCGCCACAGTCAGGCGACCGCAACCGCTGCGTTTCTTCTTTCGATACATCAGCATCGTCGGCAGCAGCAACGTCCGTCACGGACGTCCAAAAATGGCACTTCCCGAACTGCCGCCAGTCACTAGCTTGTCGCCCCGAGTGTTACGCGTGCTAGGTTGTAATCCCAGCGTGATGACTTTGCAAGGCACCAACACTTACGTGGTCGGCACGGGTCGTAGGTAAGTTGGCCGGTATATTGTTGTCTTTTGCTCGATAGGTTTTTGTATAATAATATGTTTAGCTATGGATACTGGTCACTGAGCTAACGAGAAAAGAGTGTATCGATAGGGTTGATACGATTTAACTTTTTACTGTAAATAAAATGCTTCATTTAACTACTTGGAATAAATGTAACAACTTAATAAACAAACACATTTGTAACATTATTACAGAGCGAAACAACCGTTTATTTTTAAATTGTTTGAAAATTAAAAAAAGAGAAAAGCGCAAGAAGATGTTTAGGTTTTGTGATTAGTGAGAGTATATACCATCAGTTTCTTTCAAATCTAATTGAAGCGTTAAGCTAATTACAAAGGAAATTTTCTTCAAAAACTACAACTTGTTAACCATTGATATATCTCGCAAAGTTTTAAGTTTACTTCTTTTAGGTTGCGATTAGTTTACCACTAGGCCAAGTCTAAGATCAAACTGTTAGTGTGTAATTTAGTTTTTGACAACAATTATTGTACTGGGAATTCAACATTGAAAGACGGCCAAATTTTATTTTATTTTTTTTAGTTTAATTTAATTTCTTCAAATAAGAAAGGGTTGTGTGTGGTAGAGAAGTGGTGTGGTAGACCAACACTGCTGTACTCAAATCAAACTGAATATGTCTCGTTCCAAGTTCGAAGCCTTACCCAGTGCCCAGTAACAATTTTCAAAGGTATCGGTGTATTTAGTTGACATTGCCAAAATTCAAGAAGGCAAGTAACGCCAATGGTTTTCTTTTCTATCTAAAGTCAAGGAAGTCAAAACTGGAAACAAAACCTTTCACCCCAAAATTGGCAAAATGTCTAACAAACACTAATTAATTAAGCAGGTAACTTTCTTAAATGTTTAAAACGGAATTGTTATTCAACTAAATTAATTCAAATTTTTATTTTGTATTAATTGTTGAAATGGAAAGAAAGAGAAAACTTTATTAAAAACAAAATGAAAAATTACATTTTTTTAAACTGATCTTGCAAAATACAAAGATATCTTTTTCTGTTTTGAAAATTGGCAACGATCTAAGATGGCCAAAACAAAATTATTTTCCCTAGAAATATTGTCAATAAAATATTTACCAATGAAAAACGCCATAAAAAACAACCAAGCTTTTAAAAATGTTACTTTTTTATGACAGTACCTATACATTAATTTATTTTGTTATTTAACCAATACAGTTAGGATTACTTTAATAAAATTCATCTCTTCCCCTTTAAAATCAAGAAAAACAAATTTACATATTTTTCAACTTAAAATTACGATGCTCTATAATTTTTTTTTGAAATAGTCGAATTAGTTCTAAATTTGTATGGAATATTATTTAAACATAGTACTACCGACAAACATTGACAAACCAAAAAAATATAAACTCTTACCCCTAGAAGGGATAGGAATTTTTTCTTGATTTCACTTTTTCAAGTAGCTTTAGGGATTTATGTTTGAAAATTAGACCAAAGGTAGATCTAGAATGGGACTATAACATATATAATTTTCTCAAAAATTCATAGTCAAACTTTTTTTTATTATTAAGGAAAACCCCAAAAAATGGGAAATTACACTTTTCCAGGTAACTGTGTATGAGTGAATCAACAGTCAACAGGTAATGAAAATATTTTTATTTTATTGTTAGTTACGATATATATGGGAACTACGGCAATACATTTTCATAGACAAGACAATCAAGCCTTATCGTATCCACTCTAATACTAAAAATTAATTGTAAGCACAAAATTGTTATTAGGTCGATTTGATTGTCATTTAATCGATACTTGTATTTTAATCTGTCAACACTGCACCTCCCATACTTATATTCACTTACTATAATACTTACTTTACTGTGCTGGTTTATATTGTGGTTGATTTGGACTGTACTGATATAAACCTACTATTCACAACCAAGCATTTATTTAAAAGCGATTTTATCACTTTCAGTTATAATTTATTTATTTATTTTTTTGTTTGGGTAAACGCCCAAGAGGGCTCAAGTACAATAATAATCTTATTGTTAGCTTAAATACAAGATAATAATTTAAAAACAAGATGTGAATTGGAATTTAAGTAAATCAAGTATAACAAAAAGAAAAAGTATAATAAGATACATATTAAGAAACTAATAAAATAAACATAATAAAAAGACCTAGATAACATTAACTGGCTGAAAAACAATTTTTTGTAGAATACAAATCTCTAATATTAAATAAATCAAAATTGTTCATCTCAATATAAACTCCTGTAGACCTATGAACCTGTAGACTTATCTCTGTACTAAAATTGTTTGAATTTAGAAGTATCATCGAAAAGATCACAAATTATTTTTAAGACCACATTTCTAACGTAAATCAGTGTACTTGGTCAAGTGTGATTTCCTCCTTTTTTTCGAGTTTTTCCTTAAAATAAAAAAAAAAGAAGTTTGAATACAGATTTTTGAGAACATTTTATATAATATTTTATAGTTCCATTCTAGATCTACCTTTGGTCTAATTTTCAGACATAAATCCCTAAAACTTTGCTTGAAAAAGTGAAATAAAATTAAAAAATCTATCCATTCTAGAGGAAATGGTTTATGGTATTTTTTTCGGTAATTTTCTCGATTTTGAAGGGGAAGTGGTGAATTTTTAAAATTTTTAGACCAATAAAGTAGGTACCTCTCTGGTGCGATTTCTAATCTACAGAGTTGCTACGTGAAGTGTAATTTGCAATTGGTTCAGCGGTTTAAAAAAGTATGTGGGTCCAGACACAAAAAAAAAAACAAACAACTTTTAAACATTATTAATGTTTGATCGTACAAAGTCACTTAGAACCAGTAATTTTGTGGGTAAACCTGTTATTACTAATTGCTTAGGTCTTGATTGGATAATTAAGACCAGAGAGACAAGTATAATACAACACTGATAATGATATGAAAATTGACAAATTATTAACATAATAATAATAATAATATGCAATCAGCTCATTAAACATTTACTACCATACAAAGAAGTAAATAAAAATGTTTAAGAGTGTCTTTTGTCGACTTTTCACCTTCATAATATTATTATACTTTTGACTTTTATAATATAATGCAATAATTCTGTATTATTATAAAAATAGTATATGAAGTCATTTGCAGCTTTGTTTACGGACCTAGTTATTTTTACTCGTTTATTCAAAACCAATACACACAACATGATGCAATGTGTGTGCGGTTCGCCAATTTCTCATACTAGGTATAAAAACTATTCAATGGTATAATCAGTAGTATGATGGTAATTGTTAGTTTATAGGTACTACTGATTTGTTAGCTTTAATATTGCAGTTATGTAATTACTTTTATATCACTGTAAAATATTCGTATCGGTTGAGGGTTATTAACAAATTACAATATGTGAGAATAAGGAAATAATTGTTGTCGGTGGGTGTTGTTTAATAGGCGAAAATAATATATTTTAAACACATCAAAAGATTATACTGCGTTCCTTATTGATTATTGTATCGGTTAATTAGTTAATTGTTTATAAATTAATTGTCATTTGCCCTTTTTAATAATTTTTTTTTTGTGAAATAGTTTTTGTAGTTTGTTTGCTATACCTACCATACTCTAACAAGTAGGTAATATTTCCTGTTCCCAAGGACAACACGCTTAAAGCACGTGATAGTGTACAATATGAACTTATATAACGTGTATTTCGATTATTGTTTATTTAAGGTACGAGTAATACCTATGTGTATAGATACTGTGATACTGAATAATCGTTTTATGAGTTATCGCTAATTAGGCGACTGCTGCGAGTTTATTGTAATATGCTGAAAACAAAAAAAAAAAATCGTTTTTTATCGTTCATTTTAAAGTTATTTGTTAGTGCAGTTGTATATTAATTTCATTATACCGTTTCAAGGTTTTTTTTGACGAGCCCCACTCTAAAAAACGGGTCTTGTCAGAAAACGACTTTGAGATCTAAATTTTTGCATATAAATATTAACAATATATTTTATAATGAATATTGGGGTGTTTGGGCGTTACTCTGACACTGGATGACCAGGACTAGATAAATATATACATATAAAAACAAAAATGTGTTCTAGCCAGATTGATTAGGGTGCCAAGCGAAGGCACATTTGTTTCATAGCAATACAAAAACAAAAAAATGAATTAATAAAATTAAATGATTGAATGGAAACATTTTTAATTGACCATTCATTATTTATATTACAAAGGTTATAAAAAATTGTAGTTGCTCCTCGGTCAAACAGCCTATATGCAAAATGACGGACTTACAAAAATGCCAAATCAAAATTATCAATACTGTCTTACAAAAATACTTTAACACTTTAAATATCATTAACAAATGTATTTAAACAGTAAAGACCTTGATGGAATAATGTACAATAATTCGACGAGGACGTCATGTGCCTTTTTTCAAAGAACAAAAAGTTTTCTTAACAAAACAAATAAACCAAACAAAATTTTTAAATAAACACATTTTTCCAACAAAAATACAAGATAAGCATATCAACGTTATTTCGCCGAGTTTTCAAATAGCCAAATAGTCATTACATAAATAACATTTTCCATAGGTCAATTATTTAAAAAGATATTACACATATCAGGATAACATTGATTTACAATAATTAGCTTTGTGATGTTTTTAAATTTAAAAGAAAAATGACGGTTATTTAATTTCTGAATGTTTTACAACCAGAATTTTCGTTTAATACGTTTTTGATTTTGTGTGTAATTTTCTTTGACTCATACCCGTAAACATGATTAACGATAATAATAAAATGGAACATTTTTTATAATTATACTTACAAATGTGCTACTAAATCTAGAAATAATCATTATAGGCAAATGTATGTTCAAAAGTTTCAAATATGCAAAATAAGTTTGCTGATTTGAAATTCGAATTTATATCGTATTTGGTATAACTCTGATTGCACTAAAAAAATATGCAAAATCATAAACATCCGAGTTTTAATAATAAGCTAGCAAAATATAGCAATTTCATTAGTTTAGTATGATACATTTTTTTTTTTTTTGGATACGTTCATTTTCCGGTGCTAGCATTTTTTTATAGAGTTTTTGGTTTAATTTGTTTGTTTTAAATTTGCCAAGCAAATACTATCAAATTCAAAAGGAAAATATAGCGAAGGTATAAATTACTATTTTTTTTTTGTTGCCGGTGCTGATAATTTATTTAAAATTTGTCTACACCGAAATGTGTGCATTAGTAAATGACAACAAAATGCCTAGCAAAAACAAGCACTAACTTGACCCACGTTAATCTTTCTTGTGTTATTTTTATCTCATCATTTGGAAATGAATCCACTCCAATCAGCATAATGTTAATGTATCATTAGACGTTAACTTACAAGCGAAACAAGATATTTTATTTAGGATTTTTTGAGTAAATCAACTTATATGTATAATATATATATATGTAGTTATATTTTATTGTGAAATATTCAGAGAACCGTATATTTTTTTTTATAGTAGAGAATTAGTAGAATTTAAAATTAACATTTTTATCTATTTAATTTCTTATCAATTATGGGCTTAAGCAAACAAATTTTTTTCTCGTTTTCGATAAAACGAGTTTCATTATTATATTTGTATGCCCTCATATTATGAGGTTCTAATACCGATTGTTTTTTTATAAACAACCAATCTATCATTTACCATTTATATTAAAAAATATATATTTTTTTATGAAAATTGTACTAAAAAAATATCAATTTCATTTCAGACGTATTTTGATCGATACCGGAGAACCGAATGTTCCTGAATACATAAAGAATCTCAAAGAGACCATGGATAAATATAACTTTGAACTGGAACACATAATTGTATCGCATTGGCATCGAGATCACATTGGCGGTGTATCAGACGTGATGGATGCAATCGGCAACAAAACCGGTAAAGAGTAACGTCTTACTGACTAAGCTAATGTACAACGTATCTTTTGCCCCACCCTGTACATATTTATTTATTGATAATATATACGCCCTATCGGGCTCAGTACAGTACAGATAATACAAAAATAATAATGACAAATTAACATTGTTTTATAAATTAAAGAGTGTATTATATGATAGATTAAATTTAATTAAACTAGATATTTTAAACAAGATATTTTAACCTGGTTGAGTCATTATAAAAAAAAATCAAAGTTGATTAACGAGTTTGCTGTTGTCAGCGTTCTATTGATTGGAGCGAAACGTCTGTATTTTTGACGAGAGGTTGGGAAGTAAAATGTATGTGATACACGAGTATTAACACGAGGGACATTAAATGGAATGAGGCTCAATAATTCGGGACAGTCGATTTTAGAATTTAATAATTTATGGAGCCAAAGTACATCATTCAATTTTCTACGCTTAACTAGGGGCTCAATATCAAATTCCAACCTGTTCTGGATACGTTCGATCCTGGACACTAGATTAGCTTGGTGAGGGTTCCAGATAACAGCCATATTCTAAGATTGAACGAACCAGAGAAAAATATAAGACTTTTATGCAATTTGGATTTCTAAGTTCTGAACAGTTGCGACGTATAAAGCCGAATACCCGCAGTGCCTCATTACATATCATATTTATATGGTTATTAAAAGACAGATCATTTGATAGTAATATGCCCAAGTATTTTATTTGCGTTACTACCATTAGATCAGAGCTATTAATTTTATAGTTAAATTTTAAGTTTTGTTTTCGTCGTGAAAAAGTTATCTGTGAACATTTTTCAGCATTTACACTAAGGCCGTTTGATATGCACCATGAATAAAACTGATTCAAATCATATTGCAATTTACTACAATCATCAATTGAATAAATCGGTAAATATAGTTTTAGGTCATCAGCAAAAATTAGGAATTTACAATTTATAAAGATATTGGTAACGTCGTTAACAAATATTAAAAAAAAGTAAAGGCGATAGGTGACCTCCTTGAGGAACACCTGATGTAACATTAATACTCGCCGAGGTAGAATTGCCTAATTTAATATGTTGAGATCTATCACATAAATATGAATTAAACCATTTTAAAATTGGTCCAGAAATGCCACTATATTCTAATTTTTTTTATCAAAATAGACAGTTCAACACTATCAAAAGCTTTCCTTGTATCGGTGTACACTGCATCCACCTGAATACCTTTACTAACTGTTGACACAATGTCCGTATAGTATTCTAGTAAATTTGTTACGGTTGATTTAGCATAGCGAAAGCCGTGTTGTTTGTCAGAGATAATATTAGTAAATACTGATACCAATTTGGTTGCTATCATTTTTTCTAAAATTTTAGGTAGTGCACTCAGACGTGATATAGGGCGATAATTTTTAACAGCATTTCGATTGCCCGTTTTAAATATAGGGTAAACATAGCTAGTCTTCCACTTATCGGGATAACAACCGGAGGATAACGAGAGATTAAATAGGTAATGAATGGGGCAAGATAGCGTATAATGACAGTTACGATAAATTATTTCTGGTATTAAGTCCCGGGCCATTTTTATAATCATTAGATAGAGAACGGAGAGTTTCGAATATTTCAGCTACTGTAAATTCACAGGTACTTATATTGATATCAGATTCAAAACCATAAACAGGATTAGTTAGTTCAGTACATTTGGTATAGACCGATTCAAAATACAATTTAAACATATTAACTGTCTCATCTAAGCTAGTTGACGCAGTGTCTCCGTAAGTAATATTATGCGGAATGGTATTTGATTTCTGTTTGTTTTTTACAAATTTCCAAAAATATTTTGGATTATTAGTTAGAGAAGATTGTATTTTTTCTAAGTGTCTTTCATAGCATAATTTCGATATACATATGTAGTATAATTCTATCTACTGTGACTTAATTGTATGATAACAATTATCATTGTTCGAATTTAAATTCATATTGATTTTGTTTTTAGATTGTAAAGTCTGGAAGTTCCACCCGGAAAATGAAAAAAAACGCGTATACAAATTTCCTATCAATTGTCCCATCAACTCCTTGAAAAACTATCAAGTATTTAATACCGAAGGAGCCACGTTAAAGTGAGGTTATAACTACAGCTCAATTTTGTACAAGTTTTTTTTTTTAAAAAAAGCAACATTTTTTTTCTCTAAGAGTTTATCACACTCCCGGACACACGACCGATCACGTTATGTTAACCTTGGAAGAGGACAAAGCTCTGTTTTGCGCAGACTGCGTGCTCGGCGAAGGGACTAGCATATTCGAAAACTTAGAAGATTATCTGGAATCTTTACAGTTAATATTAAAGTTAAACCCTGTTGTGATGTATCCTGGACACGGTTCTGTGATTAACGTAAGCCGTTCGCTTTGATTATTTAATTTGTTTAATTTTTTCAAAATTGATTAGCGCATTTTTATGTGGGTTTCAGAATACCGTTCAACGAGTTAACAATTACATACAGCACAGAATCGATAGAGAACGAGAAATTATTAAAATACTCAGTGAACATCCCTTACAAACCATGACGATAAAAGATTTTGTAGATGTCATTTATAAGGTGAGTTGAATAAAACTACTGGTACATTATTGGAAAGTTGATTCTTCCAAAACTGACATTTCTCTTATGCGTATCATTAGGTAATTCCAATTTTATATGTAAATTGTTACATTAGTGATGAGCAAAATTTAAAATAAACAATAATTCAGTGGAGTATTTACGGAGGGGGGGGGATAGATCCCCTCCCTTGACCTTTTCTTTTTTGTAAGACTAGGTAAAAACAGAATCCCACGTTATCTGTAAGGTGACCCGTGACATATTATTCTACTGAAATATTTTTAACACTTGAATATAACCGTCGGCTAATAACTGACACAAAAAACCTTCAAAAGTCTGTTTAAGAAAAAAATTAAGCTCAAAAAAAAAGAAAAATTTATCCCCCTCCTCAAGAAAATCCTACATACGCCTCTGCAATAATTTATAGATTACACAGACAATTACAACAAATCAATAAATCTTTATTTACTTTGCCTTTAAAATAACACTTGTAATTTTAATAGTTTATAAACTGTTTGCTAACTATTTATGGAAAAGTATTTTGTCTTAATTGATTTCAAATAAATGTTCTTGAACACAAACCCTTTTTTTTCTCTGTAATAATTGAAAAATTGTTTTATTGTTTAAAAAAAAAATTTAAATCACTACTTTAATTTAGAAAAAATGAATATTAACTCAATGATTTTTTATCAACTGTAATACTACCTCAGTCAGCGAGACTATAGTCTCGGCGTCGAACGATCTTCTATTCAGCTTCGATATTTCATTATCCGATATTTTAAAAGTGATAAAAATTTAAACACACCCAAAATAATTAAATATTTACACAAATAACAAATAACGAGTACCGAATAATTTTGTCATGAATAATCAAATAAAAGATAATTTTTGACTTTGTTACTTTATTCCTCCGTCGACCAAAATGTATTTTACTCATGAGAGTTTTATCTAAATGTTATTAAAACAGCAACATGAACTTCTGAACACTTAAAACTGTGCATTTAAACTTTAAATTTGTTTTCTTGTTTTAGGGCATCTCCAAAAAATTACAAGAAGTCGCAACGATAAGCGTGGTGCAGCATCTTTTAAAGTTGAAAAAAGAGGGCAAAGTTTTAGAAATTGACGATCACTGGAAAATCAATACAAAATCAAATTTGTGATACACTTAATTTTTAAAATTTTTTTTTTTAATAACACAATATTGTTTTGTCGTTACCGCAAATCGTTGCAAACAAAGTGGTATAATGTTGGAAGCTATAAACATTGTTCAACATTTTTATAAGTGGTTTGGGTTGAATTTATTGTTATTTTGTTGTACTCTGGATGTAGTTCATTATATTGTTGTTGATATATTTATACACATATACATTTTAATATTTATAAATAACTAATATAATATAATACCATATTGTTACACAAAAGACTTGAACGTATGATGTGCATAGTTTTTTTGCCGAATTAAGATTTAATAAAAAAAAAATCAAATGTTTAAAAAAAAAATCAGTCTACACTTAATTACAAAGGAAATCACTTGCACCAAAATCGTTTACAATAAGACATTGTTTATACAGAACAAATTTGTAATTTTACTCAGTTTTTTGTATTACAGATTTCCACTGTTTGAATTATATTAAAAACAAGTATTGATAGATTGATGATATTTTACTTTTGGTATACTGTATATTTAGAGTGAATTCCAGTCGTTTCATTAGTTTGGTAATTAAAAAAAGAATAGTAATATCTATAGCAAGGAAGACATCACCGGAGCTCACATAAGTATTAATCTAACCAGAATAGAAAGAGTTCAGCAATACCACTATCTTGGCACCGTCATTAACGAAATAAAATGACGCATTGGTAAAGCCAGAAGTGTATTTATTAATGTCATAGACTGAGAAAATTACCAATATTGAGGTATTGCGTAGAAAGGGAAAGGAAAAAGAATTAGTTACAACAGTTAAATGCATAAAACTCCAGTACTTAGGACATATTATGCGGAACAAGTGCAGATATGACCTTCTCCAACGTATCCTACAACGAAAAATAGATAGCAAAAGAAGTCCTGGAAGAAGAACATCGTGGCTAGCCAACCTCAGAACATGGTTTGACAAAAGTTTTGTAGAATTGTTCCGGAGTTCCACTAGCAAAACTAGTATATCAATAATGATCGCCAACATCCGAAACGGGTCGGCACATTAAGAAGAAGAAGAATAGGACTTAAATTAAAAAGAGATAAAAGATAAGAGATTAGAGATTATAGATAAGAGATATGTTATTGGGATGGGGATTGGCTTGAGGTCGACATTTTCATGTGAGATATATATATATATATATATATATATAATGATATATAAGACATATCACTTGGAATGTAACTATGGTAACCACGGTACTCGAGGCGAATGGTAGGTGATGACAGACGAGTAATACACTATTCAGCGATTAGACAACATTTATTTTACAACGTTATTTACAGAAGTAATAGATAATAACGGTCGGTGGGCACTGAAGTACAAGATGTACTTGCGCGTCTCTAGGCGATTGATGTGGCGTGAAAACACAGCGTCAATGCAGGTCGAATTGCGCGAAGTGGAATCAGCGAGATCATTGTTGAGTTATAGTACGAGATCGGTACTCATAAAATATGTAAAATTGTTTACTTATAATAATTAGTAATACAAAATAATTTATTATTATTTAAAAAATTCATTTATTTTCGTAAATTATTATGGATACGAGTATGGTCTGTGCATGCGGCAGAACAAATAGATGTAAAAATTACATAATTACAAATTAGTAATTATGTAATTTTTATTGTTTAAGTCGTCATTTTTCATAAAACCTGTCACTTGTTCGGTTTCACTAGACTCCCTGCCATCCCGACTATACCCATCCCTCCACTAACATTGGTATGGTTTTGCTTTTATATAAAAAAAAAATACGCAGTTTGAAAAGGTTAAGTTTATTGTAATGTAGAGCACAGGCTTTTTTTACAAATATATTTTTTGTATAACAATCTATGATGCATAAATTTTAAAATATGTAAAAAGATGTATTGACCATTTTTTTTTATGTGTAATAAAAACTTTGTCTATATTTTCAAAGAAAATTTAGTTTTATCCTTTTATTAAATAATCATTTTTTCCTAATATCCATTACGTACTAGACATTCCTAAATGCTTAATTAACTATAATCCCACCCCTCCCTTAACCTAACCCCTCAACGTTGGTGTTTTTTAAGGTTTATTTAAAAATATACGCAACTTGATAACTGACTGAGTAGACTAGCTTTGCAAATATAATTGTTTGGATAACAAACTGACTCATAAAAAAAAAAGAAATAATATTTACAACAACGACTACAATTAAATATTAACGGATAACAAAATTAAATTGTAAATAAATAATTATAATTGGAATTGTGTTTATTTTTTTTTTTTAATTTCTTAATAGGAATCTTGAAAAATGTTTATAATATAATAAGCAACACCTAGTTTACATTGTGAATAGTATTCAAAATTTAAGTCCTAGGTACACAAAAAAAACAAAACAAAGAAAAATGCTTCCTTTTTTTTGGTTTTTTCGTGAGAGCTTTTTTGCTGTTCCAAGCTGTTAATAACGTTGGAAACACAAACATACATGTAGATTAAAACAAAGTCGAAAGATTTCATAAGCAATAATAAAAAAACATCAGGGTCTTTATAAGAAAGTTATTTATCAATACATTTCTGATATAAATCTCTGAATAATAATATATCTAACATTTTGACTTATTTGGTACTAATGATATTAGGAGTATTTGGAATATCGACAATTGTTTTATACAACGCTAATCAAAATCATTGTTTTGCTAGCGAAATATTTCATCCTGCTCTAGTGTTTTTTAAAAACATGAACGTTCTGTTATTTTACAAATAACTTTGCCTATTGCGCCATTCTTTAATAATATTGGTTCAATATAGTTTAAATAACATTTGTCAAATAATGTATAATATATTCATTTACATTTAATTCGACACATAATGTTTAAAAAAAAAAAATTTACTATTGAAATTATTTTTAAAAAAAATAATTTTTTATCTTTATTGAATTATTTGTTTAGGTTCAACATATAGTATATATCATATATTTTGACTATTGATTTGTATACCACGTTCCTACACAGAAAAATATACATAGTGTGGCAGACAAAAACTAATTCGAATATTTAAAAAAAAACTTATTGAGAATACTAACATTCATTTCAAAAATATGTAAACTTTTTGGGTGTTTTTCTTGATTGTAAAAGGGATTTAGTGATGTTTTTCAAATTTTTGCCCACTTATGTACATTTTAGGTTAGATTTCTGAAAAAGAGTTGGTACACGTATCAAAGCTCTGTACAATAATATATATTTAACATTTTAAATTATTTGGAACTAATAATATTAGGAATATTTGGAATATTGGACAATTATTTTTAACAACGTTAACCAAAATTGTTTTTTTGCTAGCGAAATATTTCATCCGGCTATAATCTAATATATAAAATGTCAATTTAAATAGCCGACGTCCCGCCAGTCGCCTAATCGTCTCTTCCATGGGATTCATATAATACATCTCGCTCTTAACACAAGCATCTGAGGTGGCTTAGGCAGCGCGTGGCGTTGGCGCGCGTTTTTATCATGTCACAACGTTATCGTATCAAATAATAACGGTGACGGCGTGTGTTGTTTTTTTTGCCGAGTTTGTACTTTTCTTAAAGTAAACGTAAAATTATTATTATTATTATTAATTACACTGTTTGTAGTTTGTTATATTATATACATACAATTATATATTAAACGTATAATAGTTATTATTAATTACATATTTGTCCGTAATTCGCTCACGGTTTTCGTTCAAGAGAAATCGACGTGTTTCCAAGTGTGCAAACATTACCTATTAATATGCGTCGTTGGATGTTGGTACGTTTTTTAGATTTAGAATATATATAATAATATATAGTACATTACATTTCGCTTAAACCAAATTATCAAATTAATTAGATGTACAAAATTCTTATCTTTTTCAAACCGCTGTGTGTGGTGATAACGATACATTTCATATTTTTTGTTGAAAAATTTGTTGACATATACATCTACTATTTATTTTCAATTAAATAACTTACTGACTTATTTTATATTTATGTAAATTATTTGTTTTAGGCCAATACTATAGTGAAATCATAACCGACGCGTGTCCGTTTAGAAGATTGATTGCTACTTCTATGTACTCTGTCTTTAATTAATACAATAAGTAGTTATTATTGTTACCATTGGTTACAGACTGTTATCCTATGCCGTCACCGATTAATTTGCCTGCGGCCAACAGAAAACTTACGCCGTAGAAGTTCATTTTTTGTTATTTATGAAGTATTTTTTAATAATTAGTGCCTATCTAATCTCTATACTCAACCCTAATTTGAATTGACAGTTTTTTTTTCATTATACAGTGTCTTAACCGACTTCTCTTAACGCTTTAGTTTCTTAACGTGCACACACATACGATACTGATGTACAAATAATTAAGACATTAATTATTTCAAATTTTTTTGTTAAAGCTGTACAATTGTGATCACTACATAGAATAAAAATTATTTTAGTTTTTTTATATATTTTTTTTTAATGATATATTATTTCACGTTAAATTGGCATTATTTGAATATATTTTAATTATTTCATTTAGTAGGATGATTTACCTATATAAATATGTATGATCACTATCGAGTACTATCACTAACCGTTTGGGGTTTTTAAAATTATTTTTTGACTTTATTTGTGGTTTTAATATTTTAACTTTGGAAAATTCAGACATTGTAGGTAAGCTATGTGGAAATCAACAATTCAAGCTAAGAAAAATCTAATAATTGTCATTAAAGTTGAAAATATAGTTTGTATTCTTTGAAATTGACAAACATATAACTTTTTTTTTTTAAATCATGTATCTGATTTCACTTTCCAGATAATTTTTTTTTAGGAAGTATTATTGTAAATTATTTAGTAGAAAAACATTTATTTACCTATCTAAAAATAACATAATACATGGATTAATTAAAAAAAAGTTTATTGTTGTTAAAATATATATATAATGAAAAATATTTTTTTAAATAATAATAATAGTATATTATTATTATTTTGATGCACTGAATAAAAATTGTTCAGATCTAAAAACAATCGATTTTTAGTTTTATACACCGGGGCTACTTTTGCGTGCTTAAAATTTATATACATTATTGACATAAAATATCTATGTGTTCATTCCGCTCTAATAAGAAATAACTATATCACATGATCTAATTTATTTTAATCACATTATACATAGCAACATCTTTGCTATTGTAATCATTCCAGTTTTTACTCCCTGGCTTTATAATACTTATTTAACCAACGAATAAATGCATTTTTACACAGTCTTATTATAAAAAATTATAGGTATGTTTTTTAAAAGCATCAGCAAAAGTCCCTATATCATCTTTTTAAATTCATAAAACAGTTGTCTTTAGATTATTTTAGCGTTCAACATTTTGTGTTCTTAGACC